TGCTATGATATTGCTAGAAGTTTGCTTCAGTCTCATCTGTATGCTAAATAAACAGCTTTAGTCTCTTTGCAATGATAGAAACATTTTGTATCACCCATTTTACCATGAAAAAGACTCTCCTGGCCACACCTGGGGAGGTAATTTCAGTGTGGATCAGTGCTGTCTCAAAGAATGGTGATGGTCAATTCACCTGTCTGACAGAGCCATTCTTCACAGCCTTTCTTTAGTGTCCAAGATGAGCAGCTCACCTGCCCTTCCAGCACCCTGGAAGAGGCAAAACCTTCAGCAGGACCGTGATTGTTCCCATGGTCCCCATATTTTGCCACTTCAGACAGTGGCCAACTTTGCTTATGCCCAGCTCCAGCTTCAGGTTTTACAGGAGTGCTGCTCTCAAAATACACATGGTCTGTGGCCAAGGATGAGTCAGAGGGATGCTGTTAGCAGTGCACTGGGTGGTACAAGTTAGTCCTTGTTCATGGGAGTCCATGAGCAATTAAAGGAAGAAAATTGTAATTAATGCCAATCAGCATGAGTTCATGGAAAATAGAATGTGATGTCTCTCTTTGGTTTAGTTGATAAAAGTGATAGTAGTGTACAAGACTTCTGTGAGACATTTGATGAGGTACCACATGACATTTTGATTAAGGATCTAGAGCAGTATAAAATCAGGAGGGTGTGCATTAAATGGATTAAAACCTGGCTCCCTGACAGGTCTCCAAATGTAACTGTAAATCATCTGCCAGCTGTGTCTGTAGCAAAGTCCCTCCAGTATTCTTGCTTTTAATATCTTTATCAATGACATGGAAGAAAATGTAAAATCACCACTGCTGTGGTCTGTTGATGATGTGACAAGCAAGAAAATGGTAAATAATGAAGAGGGGGGTCACTGATAGGGAGGAATACAGAGCGCTTGGGGAGCCAGGCTCAAGCAAACAACAAATATGGTGATGCAGGTGAATGCGAGAACAAAGAATAAAAGCTGCTGTTGTAAGACACTGGACTCGAGGAAGGAGGAAGCTTTTGGGAAAGCTTCTTTACTGGCCAAAATCAGCTGAATGGATGGTCCCAGTGCTGGGCTGCAGCTGAGCGGGAGGACACTTGGAGACAGAAAAACGTAAAAGGGTCTCTAATTTATTTGCCTCTAATGGCAGTGCTGCTGTATGAGTAAAAGCATCAAAATGTTAGAGAGGGTTCAGAAGGACCAGGAAAGTTTTGAAAGAGTGGCAAAGCCCTGAGCTGACCCCGTGTGTTGAGCCACCAGAGCAAAGTTGAGGGCAGAGTTGGCTCCAGTTTGCAGATGTGGGGAGTGAAGTAGTTTGTTTGGGTTTTTTTCTGACAGACCCCTGTGCAGCACCTGGAAGCTGAGTGTGAAGGCAGCCAGATGGAAAAAAGGCTTCAAGAAGTCAGCCTCATTAGGAGTTAATTTGTGTTGTTTGAGATCTTTGGCCCAGCTCGGTAACCCATGGCATACCTGCATACAGGGTACCAGTATCTCAGCAGGATTAAACCAGCACTGCTACACTGGCATAGCCAGATTGGTGACTGACACCTGCACGTAAGTAAAAGTTGAGGCCCTGCTTATGTTGAAGTTGGTATCAAAAGTGCCAATGGCTTGGGGGAGGTAGAACTTCACCTGAGAGTTCTTAGACACTTTTTATCCTAGTCTCTACACAAAGGTGAACACCACCACCACCCCCCGAAGTATTTTTAAACTAATGTAGTACAACTTCCTGGATGAACATCTCAGAATTAATTTAAAACTGCTGTAAGTGGTGCTGGTTGCAACTGCAAGGCTTTAGATAGGTGTTCATTATGTAAGTAGCTGCACTAGCTGAAATGTTGCCTTGCCCACAGCTTTTCCAGCCAACTGGTTATTGTTCATCTCAGCTTCATAAATTTATATCCATCGGTGGGATTGTAGGGTGGCAACCTCTCTGGGGAAGTGGCAATGAGAATCTTGGGGTCATGCCATCAGCTAGCACAGGAAGACCTGGAGGACAAGGATGTCCATCAAAACCTGTATTTACGGCATGAATTGACATTTAGGACTGATTTAAGTGTGGTTGCACTGGCATTCCTGTGTATTGCAGTTATTTGTTAAACAAGAGCTAAAGCAGTTCAAGTTTTTTCAAGTTCAAGGAACAGGCTATTGCCAGGGATGGCTTTACTGCAGCTTGAAGGTAGCTTAGGCTAATGCATTTTAGTTTTGCAGGATCAGGCTAAGAGAATGCATTGACAAGTGGCAAATCAGTCACTGCCAACTGTTTATATCCTGTGAGCAGAAGAATACCCCAGGCAAATTCAGTTGGATGTTTTATGCCAACACAATGAGGTCCAAGGGAGTCTACAACTGACATAATTTACACACCATGGAGTCAGAACACATTGAACACTGAATCTGAGAGGGTCCTATTTTAACTTACATTTGCTTACAAGGCTTTGGGGAACAAATTCATGTTTTGGCTAATCCATCTAGCTGGGCACTGCATCCAAAAGGGGCAGCATTGCTCTTCTGATTCCTGCCCCATCTTGTCTCTTTTGTTGGATGAAGTGACCATGCACCCAGCTGAGGAACAGGATTTGATTGCTACTTGGGCAGACTCTGGTTTTGGTGAGCTAGTTCCTACTTGGATCCAATCTACCCTGGAAAAAATATGACTTTCGGAGTGGCTGCTCAGTAGCTACAGTCCAAAAGAGTAGGCAGGATTTTTGTGGCAGCCTTTGGTTAGAAGAGATGGAGCCTTTCAAAACATTGGGTTCTCAGTTGGTTTTTGTACTTGGAGTCTTTGAGATGGGAATTGCATTGTCTTAAATCCCTCTTCAAATTAGCAAAGCAAGTTAGAAGCACGTTCTAATGAGATGAGTTGTGCAAGAAAGTAGTGCAAACACAGTGACCAGGTTACACAGAAGCAGAGTTAGCAGGCTAAGCAGAGAAGGGAAGTCTAAACTGAAATAGCATGCAGTGCTGTGCAGGATGGAAAGTTACATTAAGAGACACAGCTGCAATTCACCTATCTGTGGAGTCTGTGGTGACACTGGAAGAGCCATCATTTGCCTCTTCCATAATCTGTCACCCATCACTGCTGCCTCAAGCACGGGAAGTTTAATTTCCTGTGAATCATGGCATCACTGGAGAAGTTTAATCCTATATCTTTCCAAGCCTCCAGAGACAAAATAGTTGAATAAGTCTGTTGTGGTATTCTTGCCTGCTTAGTTGTTGTTGGAAGTTGTCCTCTGGCTGGTGGTATCTCCATCAGCTTCAGGGTCACCTGCAGGCTGGACTGCTGTGGCATCCCAGGTTGTCGGATTGGAGATGTTGGTGGAAGAATTGCTTGAGTTAAAGATGAGCATCTGATGTCAGGGGACTCCTGCCAGTCATTGTTCTGCTGCCTGTGTGGAAACAGGCTGAATTCTGTGGTTTTGCTATGTAACATTCTTATGTAGCTGGCTGAGTCGCCAACATGATAAATGCAATTATTTTTTCCAATTGTTATTTTTGCCCAAAGCATGCAATTGACACTGAAGTCTGCTGGGCAGAATGGGAATGCAGCGGCTGCTCACGTCCCTGCAGCGGCATGACGACGTGAAGGCACGAATTGCAATGATGGGAAGCAAACGCTGCCCTGTGGTATATGTTGGGAGCAGGCACCCATCTGTGTGTCCGTCAGTCCCATCCTCAGGTGTCAGTGGTCAGGGGGCATTCTGCTTTCTTGGTGTCATTGAAGGGGGTAGATAGAGTTTCTAGGTCGGTTGCAATGTGATTTTCCGTGGAAAGGTGGGAGGGAGTGGGGTTTGGTTATGCAATGGAGGGAGCTGTATTGCACCACCCGGGAGGGGAGCAATCGCACCAGAGCTTTTTCTATCTCCCCTATGCCCACAGAGGCCAGCCACCTCTCTGGCTCCCGAAAGGAGCATTCCCAAAGGAAAAAAAGTGTTTTGGGGCCCTTCCTCAGTGGGAGGCAAGATTTAACTGGATTCTGAGCTTGGGAGGGAGGCACAGCTCTCTAGTAATGATGGGGATAAGGGTGCTTTCACAGGGAGTGGGCATGATGTGCTGGGCTAATTTGGGCCACCTGCACCCTTTGGGAAATGGGCACTGTGGGGTGAGGGCTCCCTACACTGTGGCTTATTAAGCCAAGTAAAAGGACAGGCCAGCCGAGCTCCCACTGTGGTGGTTAAAGTTTGTTTTAGCTGCCTTATCTAATCTCTCCCCTAACTTTTGCTGGGGGAAAGCGTTTATTGCTTATATCGTGTTACTCCATGAGCACTTGCTGGCTGTGGCTGTTTGCGTGTGTACATGTAGATGTGAAGCCAGATAACTTCAGGCCTTGCAGTTTTATGGGTCAGTCAATCCAAACTGCTTCCACTGGCAGATGTGGGGATGTGCTGCATTCGTTACCTGTGGGCCATGTGCTATCAGGGTGTAAATCAGCAAAACAGGGCTCTGTTTATACACATAAATTGCCCCAATCTGACAGCTTAATACCCTTTTGACTTTTTACCCTCTGCAGGGGAGAGCCTCAAATGTCTTATGGCTCTGCTCACCCCAGGGATGACGGCAACGCAGGGAAACCAGCCCCGCTATAAAAGGAGGGAGCACGCTTTGCTCCAGTGTGTCTTCAGGCTTGGCTGCGTAGCCACCAGCTCCCCGGAGGGGAAAGGCCCTTCCAACAGACCAGTCCAACAGGAAATTATCTGCTCACCCTTTGCTAAATTACTAGCTGGACAGCCAGTCACAGGGTCCCAAAAATGCCAGCTTCATCTATTCCCCTACGGACATGATTCCCAGGCACTCAAGATCCCGGCTTGGTCACTGGGAGGGCAAACCCACCTTCCCTGCAGGGCCTTGCGCAAGTCTTGATTTCATCTCTTCTGTGGGACATGGAGGTCACATGGGTGAATTTTCCCTGAGCAATCATAGGGTAAAACCTGACAGGCTTCCTTTAGCTCTGGCTGAGGGGTTTTGTTGCTCCAGGAGATGCTTTATTTTTTTCAGCAGATGAGAGGGTGTTTCTAGTGAGATAGTAAGGGGTTGATGAGAGGAAAGAAGTGCCAGGGCATCACAGTGAAATAGATTGTGGGAGCAGAGGTAAGACTGTTAAAATCCAGATCCTCCCCATTTGAAACATCCTTTTTGTTTCTCTTCTGTCATCTCCTTTGTCTTGGAGAACAGGAGCTCATGGCCACATCCAAACCTTTGGTAACACCTTTGGCTTTTTTCCTTCATTTAGTGCATCCTAAATCTGGCTGCACTAGACCGTTGTAAAACCAACCTGAAGAAAGAGAGACCCTCTTAATCAGGACACTTGCTTGTGCTGGCACTGAGCAGCCCTGGTTGGGACTCTTAGTTTACCCCACTGTGCTTTTCAAGCCCTCTTCCCCATCAGCACCTGAGCTCTGTTGGAGCATGGCAGTTCCCAGGTCACTTCGTGCTCCCACCCCAACCAAGAGCATCCCGTGCCCTTGCATGGGAGAGAGGCATTTGCAGCAGGCCTTTCCCAACCTGCTTTTAAAGTGCAAGTTGAGGCTGAAAATTGATGATGTAGGAGACTGACCTTGTGACAACATCCTTCCCTCTGGCTGATCCCGGGTCACTTGCTCTCAGTTTACAAGTCGCCGACTCCCATGGTAGCTGGACTGCTCCCACCTCTGTTTCTGCTTGCCCAAGCAGCAGGAAAGACACTGCAGCTGAGATGTTGTATAGAGCAGAAGGTGACCCCTTCCCTGCTCCTGGCCTTGGATCCCCTTAGTGCCCAAGAGGTGGCTTTGGTGCAGGAAGGGCTACTTGGGTGCCTGGAGAGCTGTGCTGGTGCTACCCTGTGCTTGCAGGCACCTCATTTTACCTGGCTGGGACTCCTTTCTGCACTGACACAATTTCTCAGAAGGAGGGGCTGTCAGTCATCACAATTTTAAATTCTCAGCTCAAATTATGCCGTTTCTACAGTGCACTTGGGGCGATTCAGTGAAACATGGCTTCCTGCAGGGAAACATATGAGGCAGCTCAAGGTTGGATGCTCTGATGTTTAATATCAAGTGCACGCATGCTGCATCCTTTGTCTCAGCATGGGCTGTGTTCTCTTGTCTACCCAGCCCCGGGAAAACTTGTAAGCAGTTAGTTTCTTTGAGGACTCTGCCCTTCTGGCAAACTTGATTGAAATTGGCCAGGGAGTTCACAAGTTTTATTAGGGAGAGAGACAGACACACCCACAGCACGATCACAAAAGAGTCGTTTCTCTAGGAAACTAGGCTGAAAAAAATGGTTGTTTAAGTAAGCAAATATGTTTCTTGGAGACACTAGAGCAGGGGAGGTGGGAGGGGAAGTGTGTGTTTATATAGCTGTTGACCCAACCTCCTCTTCAGCATTAGTTTCTTGTTTTAAATCTCTTTATCCCTATTTATGCCTGTTTTATCATGTTGGTTATTAGTCCTAATGACTTGCTCTGCTCTGTGCTGCTGCCTCCATCTCAGCAACCTCCTGTTTTGCTGCAGGACTCTACAGACCACTTTGCTGAGATCAGCCCATCCAAATAACTTCACAGATATAAACAATGAACCCAGTGAGGGAGAGGGATTGGCAGGGCCCTGCGGGGGCAAGGCATAGATGTGAGCAAAATTAATCGGTGGCTCAAGCTTTCCTATAAAGCTCCTGTTTCAGGATTTGCAAACTGGTTTCCTCTATCGGCTCCAAAGCATCAGAGCTGCTAATCCCAGGGCAGTAAAGGCCCTTTTGGTCTGAGCTGTCAGCCAAAAATTCAAGTGCCTGTAAGTTGTTCTAGTTTTGTTGAAAATGGGTGCAGCAGTCAGGTGTCCCTTTGATGCGCTCCTGTTTATTTACAAAGAGCCCGAAAGGTCCCATTCCCCCGAACGTGGCAGGAAACAGGCAGGGACAGAATTTGGTACCTTGTTCTTCCTGTTAGGGCTGATCTCACATGTGAGTAAACAGCGGGTGCGTGTTGAGCTGCAGCAAAGGCTTTGCTGCCTGAACCGCCACCCGTCCTCCTGTTTTCCAGCCCTGGATGCCTGTGCAAGTCTCCCTTTCACTTTCCCTCCTGGCTGGCTCAATGCAGGAAATCAGGCTGATTAAAAACTAAAGCAGAAAAAAAAAATAAATTAAAAAAAATATGAAAAATGTGTTTCTTTAAAAGCAGAAGAAAAAAAATTAAAGATCATTTTAATTAGGTTTGAAAAATCTGCGGCAGAGTTGACAGGCGGGCTGACAGGGCTCCCTTTCACTGGATTGCCCAGCTCAGGGCTTTTCATCTTGTGTGCAGAATATTTTGACATTCGTGCTTTCTTGGCTCCATTTGTAGAGCCCAGTGGAACCTGCAGCCTAATTAAATGTAACAATTCCTGAAAATGAGGGTTGTTATTTTTTTTTCCTAGGATAATAATAGAGGTTTTATTTAAAAAAGAGCTAATCTATTTACTCTGGGCTGCCTGCTTCCTGACCTGGCCTCAGCACCTGAGGGGACAGGAACAGAATGAATTAGACAGGAGCTTAGTCACTGGAAAAGATGAGGGTGTTAATGTGTGTGTGTGTGTGTGTGCACATGTGTCCTGCATACTCCACTCAAAGAGTTGAGAGGTAGGTTAGGAGGCTCAGATTTTCCCTGGCAGCTGACTTTTTTCCCTTACTTTTGTGGTTGGGTGCTGGTTTTTAGCCAGGGTCAGACCCAGCAGGCTCTAGAGTGTGCTCTAGAGTCTCTTCTCTGGTTCCTCCCCCGTGGCCACCAGCCTGCAGGGAGGGGGAGGCAAGGGCTTTGCAGAACTGGAGCCACACAAGCCAGAGGGTGATGACAGAGACTTTGTATTGAGAGCTGTGGTAAAGAAGGAGGCAAAGGGGAAGAAAAACACGAGTCAGTATTGTTGAGGACTGGATATGCCCAACTGTGAACCAGCGATCTGCACCTCTTGGTGCCCAGAGCTTCCAGTTTACTGCAGTGTTTCGTTCTGACCATGGTGTTATGCCTTATCCCTCAAGCACATCCCTGCATCCCTATGGCTGGTGAAGCATGGGCCAAGCTCCGGGAGAAAGATGAGTCAGAGTAAGTTTGTGCCTCTCGCTGTGGGTTCCTGGTGCCATCGTGCCTCAGGTCTGTCAGCTGCCGTCACTGCACTGGGGTGCACCACTCAGGTGTCGTGGCACTGAGAGCAGCTCCAGCGCGAGGGCAGCGAATCCGTCTTTCATCTCCCTGTTTAATGTGTTCTCCCAGGCTCACATGGAAGTAATGGTGGCAGAAGCTGAGGAACACTCCCTCCCATCCCATGCGTGGTGGATGGCTTCCCTGTGCCACCAGGTCCAACACTGATCATCAAACCACCTCAAAACTTCCCATCAGCTGATGCACCCATTACTCAGCCAAAAGCAGTATGGTAGGCCACGAGAGGTGCAAACCACTTACAGTCTTTCCCTCTCCTCACTTCCTCGTGCAGCTCTAGGGAGGTCCCCTCTGGCACAAGAAATCAAAACCTCAGGGGCACTTGCCCCCAGCTGGCTACAGCAGGACTTGGCTAATGGTGCCCATTGCCTTTCCCAGCCAGCAGCCTGATGGCAGCAATGAATCAGCAGCCGGTGGACTTGTCAAAGGCATTCCTCCACTTTAATCCTATTGACAGGGACTACTGCCTGGAACAGGAACTGCGGGGTGAGCCATGTCAACAGCAGATTCTTATTACAGATAATATTGATGGGGCCTTTACTTGAATAATGAAGGGAAGAGCCCTCTGCTTTGACGTTTGTCTCCAAAACCTAGAATTACTAAGAGTTTAACCATCGGAGGGGAGCTTAAGATAGTTGCATCTTAAAGGATCTGCTTTCTTGTCGCATTCAAGGCTGGGGAAAGGAGTTTAGCCCATACACTGGTAGCTCCGTGCTGACCTTTTCACTGCTCTTAATAAATGTTACAGTTAAATAAACTCGGATGGATTTTTCTATCTACTGGAGTGTGTTATCCACTTTCTAGGGAAAAAAAAGTCAAAAAAACTCCAAATCCCTGTTTAATATCACTGTTACTCATTATCTTTGCTAGCTGCAGGGCGAAAGGCAAGGAGGAAGGGCAGGGGCAGGACAATTCAGGCTGTATTATCAGGGTAATTCCTACCATTGCACATGATTATGTGTGTCTCTGTATAAGGGTGAATCAGGGCTGTTTAAATCTGTTGTGATCTTATGGCCAAAGCTCAAACTGGAATCAGTAGCTCTGGAAATATTTGGAGAAAGTTTTGGTTGTTTTTATTTACTTTCTTATTTTCCACTCTTTAAAAGAGGAAAAAACCCTCTCTGTCTGGTCTATATCGTTTGGTTCCCTACAGGAGTGGAGGCACCAAAGCTGCAGGGGAGAGGCTGCCTGAAAAGTCAAAAGAGGGCAGAAAGCATCAACTGTTCCAGGAAATAACCTGTCCTTGCGCATTTCCTCATGTTCAGGCTTCAATATTGTGAATGTGAGCACTGTGATGAAAGAAGGTAAGGAAGGAAGACGGGACTAAATGGTGGCATCCCTGTTCTTGGACTTTAAATGTAACCAGAAGCTCAAAGGTGTCCCTGTAAAGCCTTATATTAGAGACATCTCTAAAAGGGGTTTGGACCTCTAGCTCCTATTTGGACAGATGAGGAAGACAGCAGGCAAAGCTGGCTTTTGTCCACGTTTCTACCTCCCAGATCCTAGAGCTGGCCCAGGACTGAACTGGCAGGTGGTTTAAGTTAGAGCAGCCCTGTGGCTGCTCTAACTTAAGCCAGCTGGAATCTCTTCTGGGTCTGGTTCTACCAGCCAAGGTTTGCTGGATTACAGCAGGGCCCTGAAAGCCTCCAGCCCACCCCTGCATGGCCTACACAAGAGGACCAGTGAGCAAATGACATGAAAATGTCAGGGCAGTTCCCAGCTGGTGCTTTAGGACAGCTTTAATTCCTTCATAGTGCTGCACAAAATTAGTATCTGGTCCAAGGGAGCCTGTTCTCGAGGTATTTTTAGTTCGATTGTGAAGACCCTAGGAGTTTTGGATTGCCCTTAAATTTCTCAGTGTTGGGCTTTCTGACTTGAACTGTTAAATATTTTCCATACATAAACAGCAGCCACAAAATTTCAGGTTGGATGACTTGTGGTTTAGATTAAAAAAAAAAAAAGCCAAAACAAGACAGAAGAAAAGCAAAGTCTCCAAGCAGTCCGATTACTCTTCTAATCCGAGTGCATCTCCTCCCTCTGAAACAGGTTCCTGATACAGGGATGAAGTGGCCTCTCTTGGCACAGTTCTTAAAAGCACAAAGACCCAGCAAGCACAGAAGGGACAATCCTTAGGGTCAGTGAATGATCCCCCAGTGCATAATGTGGTGCATGAGAAGGCAGCTCATGCTCTCAGTGTGCACCCCATAGTTCTGGGCATTGTTTAACTCAGTGTCTATCCATATCTGTACCTATATGCAGTGTTTTAACCTCTTCAGATCTTCTGTTTTACCCAGAAGATCCCGTGGATGATGGGGGCACTTGTTTTCCTGTAAGGATGGACCCCAAGGACCATCTCTTAGAGCAACTTCGAAATCCCACTGAGGTGCAAGCTACCTGCCCTTCCAGCCATGATTTATGCCCCTTCTCTTCCAGGTGGCCGAAGTGTGGCATAGAAACTCAGTTCTGCTCCTAACAACAGGGACAACTGGCCAGGCCTGACATCAGGTGCTGTGGATACACAGAGAGCCTTTCCAGTGAGGGACAACTCCAGCAAACACCAGTGGCTGGGGAGAGCCCATTCTGGTCAGAACTGGAGCAGGCACAGGACTGTGGTGCTGCCAACCCTGGGCCAGGCAGGGAGCAAGCAGCTTTGGAAAAAACATCCAACCTAGGTGTGTGCCTGAAAGGACTGTAAATATCCATGCATGAGCTCTTGTTCTCCAAGGTTTTTCTAACCTGGTAGAGGCTTACAGTGAGCGGGGGACGGGGATGTTCCCTTCGCAGCAGGTAGATCTGTCCCAATGCCCTGACTAGAAATGTCAGTCCTCAGCCTTTTTGTCTCAACCAGGCACCCATGAGATCCCCCACAGTGGGATTTGTGATGGGGGGCCTGTGCCCAGCTGCAGCATAGACCAACTCCACCATGGAACCACCTACACCAGCTACCTCACAGACATGGGGAGATGCCATGGCCAGGCTGTGGGAGGAGGTGGGCATGAGCTCAGGAAGTGTAGAGATCGAGCAACCTGAAGTTGTCCTTGAGCCTCTCTTAGCACTGTGGCTGTGGGCATGGCCAGACCATTCGTGTCCCACGCTGGGGTGGGTGAGCAGAACAGTGTGTGACTCCAAGCCCCCATGGCCCAGAGAAATGCCACTCTCTCCTCATCTCCATGTTGTTGCACTAGGAGATGAAATATGGCTAATGCCAGATTTGATGGTGTCTATGGCATTAGCTGACCCCTCATGGAACTGCCCAAGGGCTCAAAAATTTGTTGGGTCCTTCAGGTCACAAGGGTTTATAAATACTGGTTTCCCCACGTTTTCTTTTTTGTTTTGGAGGTGCCTTAGAATGCTCTGAGCTTGTGTTTCTCAGCTTTTCTCTAGAATCTGGAAGCAAATGAAATGCTTGTTCCTTTTTCTTCTCCTTTAAAAGTGAAATCTGAGATTTTTGCATAATGCATTGGAGCAAGAAGCTGGGGAGGGGGTGAAGAAAAACATCAAATACTGTGGGACTAAAATTGCAAGAGTTGGCAACACTGACTTTTTTTTTTGTTTTCCTTTCTGTTTTCCAGAGAAAAAGAAAACCACCCCCAATTTTGCTGAGCCCCAGCAGTGTGAACAGAGAGAAAAGGTGCTTCAGGGCAGGAAGAAACTGTGAAGAAATAGATTTTCAAACTCCGTTTATATTGGATTGTCTGAAAATTGTCCTGAGAGCTGCCTTCTGGGGACATCTGCCCTGCTCTGAGGGCGGGGAGAGATGTCTGTGGGGAGAAGCTGTGGGGGGCTCTCAGGCTGGGACAGGACTCAAGTTGCAGTCTCCTCTGGTGGTGCTCAGACCTCAGCAGTGCCAGGTTCTCAAGGAGGGCAAGGAGAGGATGAGCATGCAGTGGAAGGGCTCCATGAAACTCTTCCATAAGAGCGACATCTCCTTCTGCAAAAGAAGTCATGGTTGGTCAGGACCAGTCCTGGCAGGCAGAGAGGTGGAAAAGGACAGGCCTATTTACCCCCAGACCTTCTTCCTGCTGGTTACCTGGAAGTCATGGCAATGCTGCCATGCCCTTGTACTCAAGGAAGACATGCAGAAGGACCTGAGTCTGTACCAGAGATGTGCATGGGGTGGTGGTACCCAACCACAGCTCTTGGTGCTTGCAAGACTCTCAAGACCACCAGCAGACAGAAAGATCAATAAATGGAGGCTCAGCAAAGTAGGATGTTGCCCTTAACACATGACATCCCAAGGGATGGTGTCCCTGGAGGTAAGGATGCTGGTGTGGATCTACTCTGGGCTGTTAAACAGCAGAAGTGAATGTGTCTCTCTCTCCTTGACTGCACGTGGCATGTACAGGAGGACTGTTATTTATTAGCGCTCGCAGTCGCTGGCAAGAGCTTCTGGAACAGAGGTTGAGCTCCAACTGCTATTCCTGCCTGTCCTCCATCACTTGTGCTCATATCTTTCTCAGACTCTCTCCTTTTGGGTTGAAATTTTCCATGCTTCCTCTTAGCCCAGTGACACATTTTTGCTGAAGGTATGGGCTGTGCTGGTTGGAGTGCTCTTTGTGGAGCTCCTTGCTAATCTCTGCCTTGTGGTAAATGTCCATCTTTCATGTCTCAGGAGACATCAGGCTGAAGAAAATCTTTAGAGGACAGATCCTACTTTATTTACTTGTTTATTTATTTGAAAAAGTTACTTAAAAGCTTACATTTCAGTCAACTGGAACTTAAAAGGAAATCTCTTATTTAGATCTTCCCCAGTGGAAAACTAAGCAGCTCTGGCAAAATTAGTTTTTCCATGGAACATTCAGATTTTGTGAAAACTACACTTTCTACTGAAAAAAAATATATTTTGATCATTAGGTTTTTGTCTGTTCTACTTTTTTAAGGATCATTCAAAAATATAAAGGCAAAAATCTTTACTTCCTACGTCTAATATACCAACTTTTTTTTTTTTATCATGACTTCAATTCCATCTCCTTAGCAAGGAGGCTAGAAAAATTATTCAGCTTAAGGAAAAGCATTTTATCAGTTATAAAGTTGTGGAAATTTAAAATGGGTATCTTAGTGCAAGTATTGGATTTGCAGCTCGCCTTTCTTCCTATCTGGGTCGAGGATGCCAGACTTAAAAACCTGGTGTTAACTTAGCTAAGAGTATGTTTGGTAGGAGGCTTTTGGTTTGTGTTTTCCTTCTTTTTTTTTTTTTTTTTTTAAGGGCAGCTGAAATACAGAAAAATGTGTTTAGGACTGCAGGACTAAAAATTACATCTGGGAACTGGGAGACCACCATTCATGGTGATTCTGAAACAGTGATTCCAGGTTGAATTTATCATTTACAGGAGGTTTGTGGTTTAATATGTGTTCTTCCTCAGGACTTTCAAACTTAAAGATTGCTTTCCTTAGACAACCTTCTTTTTCTGAAAAACTAGAATAACCAAATACTACACTTAACTAGTTAAATCTTCAAAAGTTAGCAAGTTCCAGTCCAAGGATTAATGACATTACAAACTTAATGCAAGCTCATCATGCAAATGTAGAATTTTCTCTATTCCCTTTTCTACCCCATTGTGATGGGTCAACTCCTTGAATGTTCAGAGATTCTCCCCACAAGCAGATATAAATTTGATACTTTCAGAAATATGCATACATGTACAAAATTGGTGTAGGCTATGCACTGAACACAAGAAATAAGTCCTTGTATGCAAAATTTATTAAAAATGGCTAATTTGCAAAATACCCAGAATACATCATGGTGGATGACTTGATTTGAAACATTAGAATAGGTGATAAGAAGTCATGCTATAGAATAATTTATATATATTTCAAACGACTCCCACTTAAAGGGAAAAAAAGTCTTTATAATTAACATGACAGATAAGAGCAACTGTAACACTAAATAAATGCGATGGATTTGATTTTGAAGTAGAGTTTAAGATTCTGAGGATGTGTTCAAGAGAGAAAAAAATATGTGCTCTGAGTTGAAAATGAACACATACTAGAGATCATCTTTAAAAACTAAACAACCTCACAGAACTCCCCTGTTCCTGATGGCTTTCAGCACAGAGCCTCCTAGGAAATGGGAGTGGGATTAATTAAAAGAGAACTGAGAAAAGGGAGGCCCTCCAAGGGAAGGTTTGGGACTTCTTTTCCATGCTAATAGTCATCCAAGGAGAAGACATCCAAAGATCTAGTCATGGTGGAAGTAAGTCTTGAGGAATGCTGCCTCCTCACAGATTTTAAAATAAAATGCAGGGCCAGTGATGTCTTAGATGTTAGATACAATGGACATGATATTGGTCATTGGATGGAGCCTTGGCAGCCAGTTAAGTGAATAGTTTCACTTAGTTTTTCGATGTGTGATCCCGTCCTGTGTTGGGCTAAGTTCCTGTGGCTCCTTCAAAGATACGTGGGCAGGAAGTAGAGGGGGACCATTGTACAACAGAAAGGGGGAATGGGTATTTCCCACCAGCACTTTTATCTACAGAGCCCCTGACCAAGATGAATTAAAAATTACTGATTTCTGCAACACTGTCTTCTCATTTCTTAGCTGTTGCTCAGGCAAAGCTGTTATTAATTCAGGAGGAGTCTGCCTGAGCAAGAACTCTCCAGAGTCCAAAATATTTTGCAAAGAGTAAATATAAGAACTATCCACCTACCACAGAACAGCATCGGCCCCTGGGTGGAATGCAGGAGCTGTTTAACAGTGCACAGAAACATTTCCCCGAAGGTTTGGACAGAAGTTGAAGGTTTCTCTATGCCCAATTGAAAATACAACTGCAAGCAATAAGCAGTATGGGCCCCCTCCCTTGCCTTGGTACTGGATGGGTTCAGAGGGGTGAGCAGCACCTACCTGAGTACCACACCACTTCCTCTAGGACACTAAGAGATTTTTCTGGAGCTCGCCCATCTGACCCAGTCCTGCGCCATGAGATCTGGCAAGACAATCGCTCCAAGTGTCTGGGTAAGTACTGTAAAATGCTTCAAATAAATGAATAGAAATCATCTGCTTCATAAATGCCAAGGGCTTTCAACATGTCGTTTCTTGGTAAACAAAGAATTTCAGCACGACAATATCTTAGGATGTTATTGGCCATATTTGTTCCCTCGTGCATATTGAAGCGAATTTGAACAGAGCTGCACAGCTATCCATTACGTCCTCCTTAGAGGTTTTCTCCCTGCTGCATTGGAGATGAGGGGGCTTCTCTGACTACTCCTGGACAGACTGATCTGCCCCCAGTCCCCAAAACTCCCACTTCTGTGATGGTAAAGGGCAGGTGGAAGTTCTGCTCATGCTTGGTTCTGCACAAAGTGCCATATATTATGATTAGAAAAAAACCCAAACAAACCAAAACACGTACTTTTTTTTTTTTTGACATTAGAATTCAGTAAAAATATGTGTGTGCTTCCCCCCTCACCCCCCAGCTAAATTGATTGCATCTGGTGGCATGAAAAAAAAACAGCCAAAATGTCAGACTGAGTCACACAGCCCCCTTGGGTGGTTATATTTATTTCAGGGTTGGAGCTCTCACCAAAACAATTTATCCTTGGCTCTCCCTCTCAGCCTTCCCATCTCTGTCCTTACAAACTCTTCTCTGTTCCCTAACACTTGCATTTAGCCCCAAGTCCCCTCCTTCCACCAGTCTTCCCTTTCTCCATCTTCTTCTCTGGCCTGGCTCCATCCCTCTCCTTCCTCTTTGCTACATCAACTCCAGCAAAACCTGTAATTTGCAATTCTTCTCTGGGAATAGCGGAGGAAGCTGGAGCACAGATAAGGTTTGATGTTTCTAATGCTCTGCCACCTATTTAGTGTCTTGTTTCATGTTTCTTGCGGTAAAGGGATGTGATAAAATGTGTGAGTGAGCTCCTT